ATACGTTTGTATTTAAATTCACGAAAGCAGAAACGACCTCTTTGTGACCATCTCCGCCACGAAGTCTCACACAAGGAAGAAATGGCTGAGCAATACCAGACAATTAGGGCTTCATTCATCGCACGTCTTGAGAACGCTTGCATCCAACCACTCCCGCTTTGAGTCAGAGAGCATCGAAGAAAGTCTCGTACGCATGGTTGCAATAAGGGCAGATTAAATACGTAAGCAAAATAAGTATCCGGAGCAATACAGTAACAAACGGGCCACGGATCGCACGCGATCTTTCCTTCTTCTTCATTGTCCTATCCTCACCACTTACACACACTCTTACATGCTCTACATTACTACATATCGAGGGAGATCAGCGTGTCCCCGCTGGTGGGAGATACGTGACTAGGGAAAAACACCGCTAACCAACATGTAAGTCGGCGCCGAATGCCGCCATCCAGCGGGGAAAGCCCACCACCTCTCGCGATAAACATACACTACGCTTAAGGGACTAAGGATCTTATCAGTAACGCGCCCGAAAACGCTAATCAATCGATCAATCGATGAACCGGAGCGCGGAGGCAAGTCGGGGCGGCCGGATTCGAAGCGGCGCCGCGGGAGGTGGCGCGTCGACGGCGGCGGCCGCAGCCGGAAGCACGCAAGGTCGCGACGCCACAGCGCCGCGACGCCCCACGGCGCGCCGAGTCTATCGCTGCGGCTCGCGCCGCGTCGCCCTTCCGCCGTGGGCCGGCGCGCGCACGCCGCATTCGCCTGCGCTCAGGGTGGGACTCGTTAAAAGCGAGGGCTGGCGCGTCCGCCTTCCACCCGCAAGGCCTGGGTTCGAATCGCGACCCGTACATGCAGGCGAAACGAGCTTATCTCCGAGCACGGATGTGTTTGTTCTTCGTATGTATGTGCATGTCAAGGAATTCGCATTCTACCGATCTTAAATTCGAAGAGCTGAGAAGTCTGTCTACAATTCAATTGCTTATACCCACCATAATGAGGCGTAGAGGGAAGCTTCGGCTGAAAAAACAGTCCCTTGTCGCGTATAAATATTTCGCTTCCTCTAAACTTAAATAAATACCAAACAATTCGTCAACTACAACGACACGAGATGTTCCAGGGCCCACATATCTGGCGTGCCTACGTAAACCCACCCATCCTTCCTTCCTTCATCGCCACCAACGTTACAGACCTGCAGCACGCAAACGCCCACAAAAATAGCCTCCCGTTTCCGTTTGCCAGTTGGGTTGGGCGGGGTCCGGTTAGGAGGGGGAGGGG